TTATAAAGGTTTCCACCATGGATCAACATCAACTATATAAAGCCTACACTTTTTATTCTGTTGCATAATGACTTGGGAAACAAGTATTTTGTTACCATATCTGAACTTTATCACAAAATATCACAAAGTTGCAGAAAAACTCCACGTCTCATGTTTCTTCAAAACTCATTTACCTTCTCTTTATCTTATCTGCCTTTAAAATTCATATAGCAGTTTATAGTTAGTGAATTCACGGGATACACTTATCCGTTTGGGTCCATATTTTCTTACTGTTTATTTATTTGGGTTGCTTTTTGTGTAATCAGTCTACTACTAGATAAAACTGTTCATGTGTCAGACAAAGGAAATTATTCACGCTTACGATCTGTGGGACGTTACATTTTACAAGCAAATCACAACAACAATGAATGACAGCTCAGCAACCACAAATCTGCTTGTGCAGCAAACAATGAGCCTTACTAATGTGTAAAACCTAGTGAAATTTTCCGGTTGCCTGGCTTCAGTAAGTGTAACGGGTTTCAAATATGCATTCTTCTGGTGGAAGCCAAATGCCTAGGCCGGTATGCCACAGCCAAACTACATATAGTATGATCGAATACATTTATCAACCAAAGACCCAGTATAATGGTACTTGAACTGAATGTACTGGAACTTCAAAGCAACTTTATTCGTCAATAGGCATCAACTTGAAAATTGGAGCATCCAACATGGCTTCTCCGTCATAACATTACGACCGTCAGTGGGATGGAGACATTGTCCAATGCTTTCTAGGCAGGTTTGACTTTTAGTGAGAATCACCATCAATATAACCAGTTTCTTACAAAATTTTCACGGATCATAAAAATAGCTGGTTTCGATTCCTAGAGAGTTTCAGTGACCATTACATTTACTAGTATCTTGGAACTCGTTTATGTTTAAAGTAATATTTAGTTGATCCAAGTGGAATAGGCGAATCAGTATAAGGCGCACAATAAAATAGAATGGTAAAATACAAAACAAGCTTCGCACATTTGGTATAATACATATGGTTGGTTATCTGCATAATTCCTCTTTCGGAAACTCCATAACGGGGTTAATCCAACTTACTGAAATACTATACTAGCCGGCTCGACAGTTTAATAGCAACAAATATTGACTGGTCACTGGTGAGAAAATAAATTATGTGGGAAGTTCTGCTTGTTGAAAGAATTCTTTCGCTCATTTTCGCAGTATTATTAACAAGCTGGAAGACTCACCATCTCAGTACCTTCCCGCCAGTGTTAAGTTGTTGCAGGTACTTGTTATAAATCCAGGAATTAGTTCTCATGCTTGTTAACACCTGTAGATAATATATTATCTGCAACCTCGGGAAAACTGATTTCCTCTCAGAGGCTCGAACTGGCGTCGCCCAATGCTGCAGCCAAAATGTCAACCAAATCAAACAATAAGTCTAAGAAATTAGGTTAATATCAAAAATGTTTGATGCATGGATTGAGAACAAAGTACAAACTTAATTTCCTAGCTGAACAGGTAATAATAGACATTTTCGCAGCAAAATTATTCGAGCATAAAAAAGATTGAAGTCACAAAATGGGAATCTATTAAATTTTATGAACCAAACGAAGCGTAGCTTGACTGCTGTCAAGCTAAGGTAGGAAGCAGTGTTAGCATCCAAAAAGCCTAGAAAGCGAGAAGGCTTGAAGAGCAACTAACTCTCTTAGAAACAAAAGTGCGTCAGATTGAAATCAGTGGAAAATTCGTGAAAGTTAGTCGGGGATGGAATATAACAAAATATTATGTCAGCTACTTACCTTGAAGTGTTTCCTACTCAGTTGCATAGAACTTGACACAGGATTTGTTCGCTTACGGTACCAATAAACGTTTCGTTGTATTCTTAATAATGTAAACATACACGTTTCTGTTTTCTGGTCTTTAAATGGTTAACTAAGTAGAAAAACTTCAATAAATTGCTTCCACAAAGCTGGTATTTTCACTCAAACTAAAAATTTTTATCTCATGCTTCTGAAAAGTCTATGCGTTGTATCTGGTCACCAGTATTACCATCTGTAAGGACAGTTTGCCATACATTTGGATACAAATATTATCTGTTAGTTTTCCGGATTAAAAATTTTTATTATACATTGTTTGACAGATAGAAGAAGCTTTATATTCACCGAACTACGAACAAAATCTTTAGACAACAAAGTTTTGTTTCCCTGGATGACCGTGATTTTATTTTAGCCATAAGTGTAAGACAACAGATTTTGACCTGGTTCGTCAAACTGGTTACCATGGCTATAGACTACTGTTACAAAAGAACGACCAATCTTGGTTCTACTCTCATTATTGACCAGATTTAATTTACAGATTCCTGAATATGATATGATAAATAAGACCTTTACCGTACTGTCATCTGGTGACAATAATGATGAAATTTGGGCACTCCACAGTTTGAGGCTTAGTTTGTCATTTTTATCACAGGCGTTTTCGGTTGCTTAGTCTCTGCATGGTTATCCGTAAGGTTGAGATCATTTTCCCGATGAATAAAACAAGAATGGCATGCTGCATCGGTTTCATTGTGGACTGAAAACACAGTTATGAATGAAATCCAACCGACACAATCGGTTTTACTGAACCCCCTTCTATGATCAATCGTAATTCACTTTTAATATCACACTACCACTTCGCTTCTGTTCTCAAGCTGAGACTAATGCTTTCAAAATTGTTGACGAATGTTGTAGGTATTTGTACTTACTCTCTGTATCATAATACAAATGTTTTGGTGTCATGCCTTAGGATAATGAGCTGGTGAAATAGATGGTGTTCTTCACTTTCGACAAAAGTGTTCAGCTTTAATATATGTCTTCAGCTATTACAACTTAATAATAGCAATAATAATAATATTCACTTTCTTCCAAACAACATGTATGATACAGTTTGGAATTTTTAGAATGGAATATTTCACTTTTAAATGAAATAATTGTTACTTCTGCATAGTGTTAAGAATAACAGTATCAAAGGCATAAGTGCGAAATCGGCAGCTAGTGTTACTTTAGTGTCTGTTCTCGATTCGAAAATTAACACAAAGTTGACTGTAATTTTGATGGTGGCAGTTCAGTCAGCTAACACAGGAAAATAGTAATCCCGTACAGGTATCCCACGAATAGTAATGTGCTGTATTTTTGAGCATTTACAAGTCCATTTCTAATCGATGAAACATTTGTCTTCTGTTTCGCTATTAGCTTGAGAAACAAAGTCCGAAAACATTTTAAAAGCATGAGAAAGTATATGATACGTTCAGAAGACATTTAGAAGATTAAAACAAACTGAAAGGGGAGAATATGATGGAACATAATCCGTCAGAAATGCTTTGTAGCCCAAGAATTAAAAGGCTGCCTTCTATTAGTTGCGTAAAGTTAATATAAAACCAAGTAATACATAGTAATTATGGATAGTGGCTAACAGTGGAATCCAGGATGCATATTTTGTCCTATTTGGGACTCGTCAGCTGGCTATACCTGCCTCCCAGTGAGTGACGTTTCCACCGGGATTCGAACTCGAGACCGATCGCTTTAAATGCCAGAGAGTTTTCCACTAGACCAGCTAGCCGCGATACTCACTTCTTGTGAAACGGGTATAGTTTTAGTATTATTGCTTGTATCCATCATTATTATGTATGATAAAAACCCAAGCAATATCGAGGCATTCGCGCAGGAGCTCACATGCCAATAGAAACCGACCAATTCAGCTCAATTAACGACGGTATAATACAAGCAATAATACTAAAACTAAGTTATGTTTTGAAAAGTAAGGGTTAGTATTCTTCGCCTGGAAGTGAATAACATTGGTTTGAATATTTTCAGATTTGTAAGGTGACTACCGCAACAAGTATAGTTCATACACTGTTTTATATTAGCTTTATTCGTTAAATGTACAGCAATGATTTGAATTCCTCGGCCTTTCATTCTTAACGTCAAGTGACTTCGCTTACGAAGATAATTTCACAATTCATCTAAGTTGTACAGTCTACCATAAAGCACATATACTATTCTCTTAGTGCCTATCGGATCAACTAGATAAGATGAAAATATCCTTTCTCAGTGCTTTTAGGTTCATACTTTCATGTTTTAAAATGGACATTAGAAATCAGGTCTCAATTATTATGTAGCAAAATTTAAATAACGTTGCTGATTCATTTTTTCAAGTTAACTCCGGAATATTCAATAAACGCATAGATAAGTTAACAAACGTTTGTGGTAGAAATGATATATCACTACCAAAACTTACTCATTTGATACGTCAATCATTCAAAGCATAAGTTCAAAAGAGGGGTCTTTCTACTTTTCGATGTATATTTCTCTATGTCCGTGTGATTAGATAGAGAAAAACCAACATTCATGCCATTTTAGTTAAAAATTGTGCAATAATAATTTTTGAGCCACGCCACAGTTTTTATCAAATTCGTACAAAAAGATACACTGGTCCGAACATAGTGATCTTTTTTCGGTACTTTTCATATTTGACTTTGAAATAGAATCTGATTCTCTTAAACATAAGAATTTCGCAAAAGTAAGGAACGAGAATAACAAATGATAGATCATCAGAAAGTTCTGATGGGAAAAAGGCTACAAAATTATTTAGCATTGGGCATGAATTTGTGTTCCCAGGTTACTAACAATTTCAGCATAGTATTTATCTTAGTGGTAACCCTAAATTAGCTTTATTTCGGTCTAAAAAGCCTGTAAATCTATCATGTCAAATTTCTGTTACACCATATATTAGAAATTGTTGTTTTTTATGGTCAGTAGTCAACATACTTCTTCACATAACTTTTCAAGATGTTACTGTAATTGCGTAATGCAGGGTTTCAGTCTGTTGAACGTCTACCATAATGTCCCTATGAAACTGAATCAATAGATATCCTGAATTTCATTTGGGATCTTACTTCCACTAATTCATTCACGAAGCAATAGATATATATTAGTTATCATAACCGTTTGAGTACAAAATATAATGAACTTCTGTTAACTGATACTTTTATTCCTACAGATTGATATTTAAATTTACACTGGATCCGCAACACTTACGTAGAAATAATTTATGATGTAACAGAATTTTTACAAATCTTTTACACAGTTTGCAAGGATTCCTTAGATGTTTTTGTAATGCATTCTTTGAACTCCGAATGTCTAACCATGTCAGTTAAGTTTGCTTGGAAATATAGTTGTGTCTTTGGGTAACTGTTATTTCTTTCTGTAATATGACCTTCACTGTGATGATTACGCTGGTGTTTGTAGTTGCCACTGATGTGCTTATGAGAAAAATTTTAATTTTTGGAAAATAAATGCATTTTACCGATGGTTGATTGTTACATAACACAGGAAGAGAACTTTTTGATATAAGCGTTAAAGAACGTAATTTATTATCAGTGTATTCATGTGTCTTTCTATGCAAAGATATGTTAATTGGAGTATTTAATAATGGTTGGTATAATCTGCAGGACAATATTTCCCATCTAGTACTCCTCTCATTAAATGGGGCTTTATCTAGCTCAAGTGTATCGTACATGTTTGAATTTGGGGACTTAATAAGAATGTAGGACAATTTTGGTGAGGTTTGTAGACAGGATTTAAACTTTTAGTTTGCTGTAATTTGTTTCTGCTGTAGATATTTCTGTTACCAGAGGGACGCAGGTTTAACATTGGTAAACAATAAGAACAGGAACATGTAAAGCAGCAACTATCGATACTCTTCAACTTTCCACGTCTAGGTTGACTAAATAATAGTACTAAGCGTCTGCGGAATGTTCTTCCTGTAGCGCAAAATAGGTAAAAATTCATTGCATGATTTATGTACATGAATAATTCTGCTATAGTATCAGCTAAACGAAAATATATCCTTGAATTAATTTTACTTCTACCACGAAAATCTAAAAGTTGTGCTAAAATTTTTATCAGAACAATTGAGACCGTAGTCAGTAAGAAGGAGAATGATATAACCAGCAGAACAACTGTAAGTTGCCTGACATTATAATTAGTATCATTTGTCTTAACGTATTTCCTCATTGAAAATGAGGTTGACGCTATCACTGATCCTGTAGGTGATGAATCCGGACGCCTACTGAAACTCTGCCGACTTTTAGGCCCACGTAAAATGTTTCTTTCTTTACTTGCACGATAAACAGATCGCAGTATGATAACATTAAATGCAAATATTAGACAGAATGGTAAGTATGAGTACAAAATTGCATCAAAAGTTGACCAATACCAATTTAATGATAAGTATTTCGGTAAAAATGCACAGTTATTCAGACACCTGTTTTGTGAGTTTAAAACATGAAACGGATGTGTTTTATTGATGTGTCTGAGTCGACTTTCTGAAGCCCATGAGGAGGATAATATTTGTGGATGTTCTAGGGAACAATCTGAAATAGTCCCTACCGTAAACAAGAAGTGTAAACTTAACAATGTACATATTATACTCATTATGACGATAATATTTCTCACTCTAGAATAACTAATTATCCGAGTGACATGTAGTGGGAAACTGACAACCAATGCACGTTCTGCTGTCAGAGTAACTGTTAACCATACAGATAATAAACTTGATGATGTGCCCCAGAAATGTACCATTTACATATGAAATTTGACGTATTCTCCAATTTCGTACCACTTAACTATCTATCCATCTACGTAGTAGTCCAATTATCAAAACCATTTCGTCAACAATTGAACGTGCTATTAAATAGACAAACGTTGTCACTGAACCAGTAGATGGATGTCGCAATATAACAAATGACAAAATATTTCCCAAACTACCAAGTATGAATATTATTGGGGGTAGATATATCCATAACATGTTGCTTAAATCGCATATAAATAAATGACTTTTAGACTTTTGTAATTCTTGTAACTTCTCTGTTAAACTTCCAATATATTCATTGAGAAGTAGATATGAATCATTTTCTTGTTTATTCAGAAGATCATTAAATGTCCCATGTTTCTGTGGATTGATTCTGTAATCTTCTTATTCGTTAAAATCAAATTTAAGCTTTTCGCAATAAAACTTTTCGTATAGTGACATACATCTTCAGTCATTTTGTTGCAAAATACAAAGAAGAATGTTGAGTAATGTGTAATATGCCGTTCATTCAGTCACAGGTTTAGTTTTAAATTTGAGATGATAAATATTCCGATTGTTCATGCAATAAACACTATAATATTTAATGAACTGACCAATTAAAACTTGGCAAAATATTAAAACATAAACTGACCAATAGCATTTTGCTGATAAAATATTGTTTCTTTACAATTTAATGAAATATGGCAGACTGGCTGGAAAAATAACAGTTTACCAATTTTTAGGACTAGAGTGCCATAAACACACCAAAACAATGGTCTCATCTAAACCTTATGTCTTATTTAACAGCCAAACGGCAAATCATTTATCGAAAAACTAAAGAAATGCTGAAGGTCTTATATGCTACAGTAGATTGATTCATGAATTTTTCTAAAGATTTCAAATTTCACATGTCATCCCGTTTCAGTTAGACAAACGATCTTGATATATTAACTAAAATGAGAAAGATCGTGAACTTTTATGAAGCGCTCAGAAATGTTTAGAAAACAGATTTAAAATTATGGCTCGTGCATAAATGCTGATTTGGATGATAGAGTCATACGGTGATCCGCATTCGCGCAAACCTCATTAAGGTGACAGCTTTCAAATTATGTAGCTGACAGTCGTGGAAGAGTTTGTCTAAATATGAAGCAATTTAACATAAATGCTTGTTGCAGTGATCGCATTATTACATGTAGAAACTATTTAAATTTCATTGGTAGATGTTACACTTCCAGATATTTAAGTAGATAGTAGAAATAAGAATTGTCAGCTGATATAGCTTGGATTTGTTATTTGGCTCTAAGTGTATCCGACGTTCTATATATAGGAAGCAAACTCGGAATGGAAAATACACTAATTTTCAAAAGTTGGGTACCTCTGAGCCGAAAAATGAACTTTATTCATTCTTTCTGAACCAGAATTAGAAGAATATGGTCAAATGAAACATTAGATGATGAGTTGGAATACCTTTGGAAATACTTCTTCAGAATGGCTATCATTCGGGGTTCATCGAAAAAACGTTAAGCCAAAACATTAACAAGAACAAGTTCTTACCATTTTTTGGAATACCTTATTCATAAATCTTGAATTCAGAGGGGACAATGAAGCAGAAATATTGAAGAATAGTCTCTTCAAAGAATTCAGAAAAACATTATGTGACCGAACTGCAAATTGTCTTCTCCAGCCAACGGCTGATTCAAGGTAATGTTAAGGACAAACTGCCGCTTTAGGCCACATCCATGTATGTCTGTGAATTTACCTGCTCGTGTGAAGCTGGTCGTGTTGGCCACATCTCCGAGCGCTATCCTGCTTGGCTGTCCAGACGAGAGCTTAAGTCAAGAGAGAGTTCCCTCTTGGATCATTCAGTAAACTCTGGTCATGTCGTTTCCCCACGGTTTTCTTTCAAAGTCTGATATAAATTCAAGCCAAAGGCTCGAAAGGAGTTCGTATTCATCATCATCATCATCATCATCATCATTATCAACATAGGACCAGGCATTACTGCGTAACGGTCCGAGTTGCCACACCTCATATCAGAACATCAAGTAAAAAGGTAGTGAGGTGAAGGATGAAGATAAGTGAATACAGTCAAAAGAAATATAAAGTACGAGAAGAAAGGAAAGAGGAGTGACAAAATGGTGAGATTCGGTATAGCGTTGTTAAGATGAGGATAATGTGTGTATAAATCTGCGCCACTGACTTCGGTTCTGAGCCATATCACCTAGGGTCTCCAACCACTGGTTCCTCTTGTCCCATGGACCCCAACCACCTAGTCTGCATCGTCCTACATGGCTTAAACCAACAGTCAGAGACTTCATACATTGGTGCCATGTTCATCACAGTAGAGGCATTGGTAGCCCAACAGTCTGAGCTCCATGTACAGAAGAGGTATGTTCATTTCCTTATTTCGCCACGGTCATAATCCTTCCTTGAGTTTCACTACTGCTCCAATATTCATCTTACTCTTACTGACCTACAATTTTATTTTGTTTTTTGACTTTGCGGCTTACTTTCCCATATCTTAACATGTTAGCTCCAACTCCCATCAAAATTCTCACAGTACTTTACTGAGATTATAATTAGCATTATTATTTTGATTCGTTTATTTTTCGACCCATTAGTCATAACGTTAACCTAATGTACATTTTTTTTACAAACTTGATTACACAATCCCTCTCTAACCGTATAATCAACCCACAGTTTCACTCCAGAATATCCTTTTCGATGACCTAATGTCGACCAGTCACCCAATAATAGACTAATCTGTTTGTTTGCCGTCCCTGTGAATGTGATTATACAGCTGCTGAAAATGCCTAGTCGAAAAGAAAATTTTCTCCGCTGAATTATTTTGTTTCTGAATACATCTGTACCTTGGTACATATATACATATATATTAGCAAAGTTGTGGCAAAGGACCGTTGACAAACCGGAATGCTTTCTGATAACATATTCATCTTTTAAAATGAATGTGAGGTATTACAAGTTGGAGTCTTTTGCGGCTTATTGAAATGTAGAAAGCTTTTGTTCACTAAATCACTACAACATTTGACTATCAAAAATGTGAGTGTTACCTGTCTGTCGATGAATAATGCCTAGTAGTTGAAGACAGAATAAAAATCTAGCTCTATTATTCTGGTTCCAATTGTAATTCAGTACTAGTCACTCTCAATTTAATAACGTTATCAAATATGTTACTAATATACGTTAACTGCTTCTCGTACAACCGGTGTAGTTTTGATACCAAAACAGATGATCTCCAGGTGCTGATTGGCTGAAACTGAATCACATGCCTTTATACGAAACTTTAATCGCTGCACAAAAATTGGCTACTCTAGGATCCCAATGGCACCTGAAATGATGGCTACCGAGCCTAAATATGGGATGAAAACTGGTACGGGGTGCGGTTAGATGATCGGTCTCCAATGAAGTACAGCATGTATCTTATATTTTCCTACCAGCCACCAGGCAGACTGATATTCAGTGAAATTCATGGTGACTGCTAGGCATCTTTAGAAAGAGATCATATGAGAACAGCTGAAAATTATCCAAAGCCTGAAGGAGATCAGCTGATGATAAAGCGATGAAAGCACAAAAATGGATACTGTTAGGCAGCTCGGTACGAATCATTGGCATTTCATCTAGTCACCAGTGCTAAATGAACTACGTTGACTTATTCTTAGGGGTAATCAGTAAGTTGGCTTTCTTAAGTTCATGATACAGTATCTTTAATGCTGTATAACTAGGAGCAGTTGATGGTTAATCCTAGATTTACAAATTTTACTTATTATCAGTCATTGAACTTAAACGCACACTACCCATTTCATATTAGGTTAGTTATTTGATTTGGCTCACTGAAATGAATATGAGCAATAAATGTTTCTGGAAACGTTATCCAGTAAATAATATCAAATGAAAAAATTATTATAGAATTATGCGCTACCACAGCGACCAGGTTTTACCCACACCATCCATCTCTGCATCCAGCAGTCTTATTGGTTAGGTACGCAAACACCAGTGAACTTTAAATACAGTTGTAATAGTGAACCTTAAACTGACTAAAACCTTGATCACTTCTACTTATACGCTTATTTTAACTTACATTCTGATGGATGAGAATTGTAACCGTAGATAAAAAGGACAGTCAGAAACGAAGAGTTATTAATTTCATGTATGAGAAGACACGTATACAATTTCATGATGTCTTTGAGTATAGTAATAGCTAAAGGAAAATAATAGTACAGTCGTATTTTTTTCAACACATTCGTTGTTCTTTCACTACGTAGGTTTATAGACGACAAAACTGTCAAATTCGGTTCATAAAATGGAACAAACGATGTGTACATCATAATCAGCTAACTCATATTTCAAGTGTGTGAAAAAAAAGCTAATTAAACACTAAAAATAAAAAGCAATCAGATCTGAAACCTAAATGATGATGATAAGGAAATGAAAATGTGCAAACATTATCCTGTGAGAAAGTAGAATAACTGAGAGCTATGACGCCGTCAATATAAATTTTGTCGTCTAGCTACAAAAAACACTTTGAAAGGCCTATCACTGTCATGTCATATTAATGTGAAGATTCTTATTCGTTGTGTCATAAACGTGGTCTAAAATTAACTCCTAATTTAAAGAAGATAGATAGAAAACTGATAAAAATTCACTTCATGTTTTAGTTGCTTGTGATCCTGATGAATTTTTGAAAAATGTATCATATTACTGAGATGTCTGAGGCTTATGACCATGCCTACCGTTGAATGAATGAATATGCAAACAATACTTCGAATTCGTTCTTCACAGTAATCTGTACCTTCACATAAAGCACTTAAAGATTTTGTGACGTCACAATCCACATGCGCGTAATTGTAGAAACAGAACTTTAAAGAACTCACTTTCGTATACAGCAACTATTTTTGAAATCTTCTGGCAGAAGCATGGAGCACAAGCATGGTGCAAATTCTGTATTCCATCGTGCTGCTAATTTTACAAATGATTACCTCATCAATGGGGCAATAAACTTTCTAAATTTTCATCTGACTCACTGACTAGAATCTTTATTCTGCTCATATGACATTCAACATCAGAGACTGAAATTCTGTTGATGTATTGAAAACAAATGTTGATTGACTATATTGTGAGAATGAACACATATTTAGAACCGATAATAAATTTTTCCTAACACTCAGACTTTATGCATGATCGTAACACTAATGTAGTGACTGGAAGGGAGTATTCACTAGGATTAACTCAAGACCTATTTATACAGTCAAATAATGTGCATGTAGTGAAAAATCTTCTACATATATCAACTGATTTGTTCCCTATTTCACATACAGCTAATGCTATGAACTAGATTATCAGTTTATGGCAAACATGTTACACAGTTGCTGAGGGCAGGGTTAACCTGTAATTATCAAGTGACGACAGTTAATATTTGAAAAACTCAACCGCACTATTAGGTTTCAAAAATGAAGACTTGATAAATAGTGGTATGCCTTTCGATGAACTAGAACAAACTGGAATGCGTAAAAACGCTAGATTTTGGAGTAAATTTCGAGCAATAAAGTTTCCA